CGAAAACTTCGGGGCCACGTGAGCCACGGCCATGGCTGCTTTGGCAAGCACAGGAAGCACCCGGGGGGTCGTGGTAATGCTGGTGGCTTGCATCATCACAGGATCAACTTCGACAAATATCACCCATGTTACTTTGGGAAAGTTGGTATAAGGCATTACCACTTAAAGAGGCTTCTGCCCAACCGTCAACCTTGATAAACTGTGGACCCTGGTCAGTGAGCAGACACGGAGAAATGCTGCCAAAAGCAAGACTGGAGCTGCTCCTATCATTGATGTGGTGCAATCAGGCTACTACAAAGTTCTGGGGAAGGGAAGGCTCCCAAAGAATCCTGTCATCGTGAAGGCCAAGTTCTCCAGCAGAAGAGCTGAGGAGAAGATTAAGGGTGTTGGAGAGGCCCGTGTCCTGGTAGCTTGAAGCTACATGGAAGGAAGTTCATTAAGATGTCCACAAGTGTAAAAAAAAAAAAGACGTCAAATGATAGGAACATTGCTAATATTAAAGAAAATTGATATAATAGCTTCAGAAAACAGTTGGGCAATATTTAGTGAAGTTGAAGATGCTCATATCCTACAACCCAGTAATTCCACTTCTAGGTATAAAACAGGGAGAAACTTTACATATGTGTACAATAAAATGTACAAGAATTGCTCAAACTTTTTGTACTATTGTACTGTTTGCAATAGTGAAAAATTATAAACTAAATATCACTCAATGGGAACTGGATAAATAAGTGGTAGTATTTTCATAAGTGGAATTCTTAAATTGTAGTGAATCAATAAACTAGGTTTATACATGTCAACATGGATGAACCTCATAATTTTAAATGAAAAATAAAACATGTTTCTGAAGAATACGTTAGTGTATATGCTAATCATGTAATGCATAAAATACAAGATGATGTAATATATTTTTAGGGATAAAATAAAGTTATAACATGCACAAGCAGGACACACTCCAGATTTTCCATAGGATTACCTTTGTGGGAAGGGTAGGGGATCTGAGCAATGAAAGGTAAGGCTTTATTTCTTAAGCTGGGTGGTAGTATATGGTTGTTCATTATATTATTCTTTATACCTTTTTGTGTATCTTAAATATTATGTAGTATTTTTTTAAAAAGTAAATGATTGCAATGTGGAGACCACAAAAATAAGCATGCAGGACAAGTAAAAACACCAGCTGCCTTAATGCTATCCAAATGGGTGGTTGTGGCTACAGTTAACAGCATCTGACATACTAGTATGTGTAAAAGGTGATATATCTTAGAAATATTTCTATTTCCTTCCAGACACTCTCTCTAGCTCCTTTCAACCCAATCCAACCCAAACTCATCTCAGTTAAAGGCACCCCAGTGTCTCTGTCTGAAACACTGGTCTTCCTTGCCTCCTCTCTTCCCTATGTATCCTTGAGTCCATCAGCAAGTCCCCTCATCACCACCTACAGAAGACATACAGAATCTATCATCTTCACAACACTCAACACTGTCCCCCATCAAATCCAACCAAACCTCCTTTCTTGCCTATATGACTGCTAGAAGTAATTCTAATATCCATTACCTTTTCCCTAACTTGCCTCCCAGTCGCCATGTTTGCCAGCTCCCCCACAGTCTCTTTTCAACTGCGATCTCTTAAAAATGTAAATCAGATCATATCACTCTCTTGCTCAAAATCCTCCAAGGCTGAGATAAAAATTCAGAGCCCTCACCAGCCTACAAGGCCCTCCCTCCATGGCCTGCATCTCCTGCCCTGTTCGCCTTTCCATTCTAGCCATGCTCACTTTGCTCTTCCTGTAACAACCCTTTCCTCACCTTAGGGCTCTCGTGCTCACCATTTGGAAGCATTCTTTCAGTTTTTATTACAGCTCCATTCCTGGCTTCAGTGGGGCCTCCACTCACCACCTTTTCTAAATTGTTGCCACAACTTCCCCTCCCCCACTGGACCAGTCCCTCTATCCCAGTGGTCGGCAAACTCATTAGTCAACAGAGCCAAATATCGACAGTACAACAATTGAAATTTCTTTTGAGAGCCAAATTTTTTAAACTTAAACTATATAGGTAGGTACATTGTTATTAACTTAATTAGGGTACTCCTAAGGCTTAGGAAGAGCCACACTCAAGGGGCCAAAGAGCCGCATGTGGCTCTCGAGCTGCAGTTTGCCGACCACTGCTCTATCCCCTTTGACTATTTCATTTTCCTTCCTATCTGCTGTAATATTATATACTAGAGGCCCAATGCATGAAATTCATGCACGGGGGTGGGGGGTAAGGTTCCCTCAGCCCAGCCTGCACCCTCTCCAATCTGGGACCCCTCGGGGGATGTCCGACTGCCGGTTTAGGCCTCATCCCCAGGATAGGGCCTAAACCAGCAGTCGGACATCCCTCTCACAATCCTGGACTACTGGCTCCTAATTGCTCACCTGCTTGCCTGCCTGGTTGCTCCCAACTGCCCTCCTGCCGGCTTAGTTGCCCCTCACTGCCCCCCCCCCTGCCAGCCTAATCGCCCCCAACTTCCCCCCTGCTGGCCTGGTTGCCCCTCATGGCCC